GAAGGCAAAGTAAATACTCTACGCGTCTTGCTATTGATCGGTAGTTTACGTACGCTTGCAGAAACTGGTTTATGCTTACTCACACTTGACCCGAACGATGAGAGTAAAGGAGGGAAAGTATTTGCGCGGCGATCGGATGTCTTGTTAGGCCCTTTAAATGGAATTGCGCAGGAGTTTAGTATATATATTAAAAGCATAAAATATGCATGTGAACATTGTAAATATAGTATGTGACAGAAAATAAAAGTGATAAGGGCATACTGTACAAAATTGTGGGGGTGATAGTGGACATTATTCAACAACAAATTGCGGAAATACTATTAGCAACTATATTGTGAGAGTGAATAATTCATGTTAAGGAGGCCTCCCCCAACATCCTCACAAAGTTTCAGGACAAAATCCCTACATTTTCGCTGAAATCTCGATTGGTTCCGTTTTGGAAAGCCAAACCGGTAAAGGTAAGTCAACAACAAATTCCATATTAAATAGTCCCATATTGTTGAGCACGTCCCCTTTCTAATTTCAGCAAAATCTCAACAACGTTGCCGGCAGAGCACCGGTGATTCAAGTCACCAGCACCGGCAAGTACAACAACACCGGCAGAGCACCGGTGATTCAAGTCACCAGGACCGGTTACCACAACGGCAACGGCAAGTACAACAATACCGGCAGAGCACCGGTGATTCAAGTCACCAGCACCGGTACCACAACGGCACCGGCAAGTACAACAACACCGGCAGAGCACCGGTGATTCAAGTCACCAGCACCGGTTACCACAACGGCACCGGCAAGTACCACAACCGGCCACAACAACAACCGGTAAGTCAACACCACCGGCACAGCCCCGGTGAAGCAACCACCGGTTACCACAACGGCACCGGCAAGTACAACAACACCGGCAGAGCACCGGTGATTCAAGTCACCAGCACCGGCAGCACAACAGCACCGGTAAGTCCTCAACCGGCCACAACAACAACCGGTAAGTCAACAACCGGCCACAACAACGACCGGTAAGTCAACAACCGGCACAGCACCGTTGAATCAAACGCCGATTATCACACCAGCACCGAGGAGTAAGCACAACGACGCGGCACAACACCGGTGAGTCAGCAACACCGGCATAGCACCGGTGAGTCTACCGCAACCACAGAACCGGCATAGCACCGGTGAATCAATCACTGGTTTCTACAACAGCACCGGTGATTCAAGTCACCAGCACCGGTAAGTCACCGATAACAGAACCGGTGAGTCACCATAACAACGTTGCCGGCACAGCACCGGCAAGATAACAACACCTACACCGCAGCAGTCACAGCCACAACAACAACCACCAGAGCAGCGACAACGGCCAACGGCTGCCATAACAGCGGCGCACCAGGCAACTATACCAACAGCAGTGCCCCACCAAAGCCTGCTGCAACGGTGGGTGAGTCCAAGGTGCAAACGTGCACATTAGGGGGAAGGAAAAAAAAATACGGAAAAATTAGTTAAGCAAGTAAGCTGTAAACTTAGAGAGAAAAAAAGTGAAGAAACTAGAAATTAAAAAAAAAAATCAGAATTTAAAAAAAAAACGAACAAAAACAAAAAATTAAAACAAAGCTAAAATTAAATATACATGAAAGAAAAAGCTTAGAAGAAGTTAATTATAGTAAGAACAAAAAGATTTATTTTTTCCTCTTATGTAGTATATGTATATACATGGGTGAAAATATAAAAATACATGTATATACATATATGCATATATAGGTACATACGTGAAATACGTTAGATTGATTAACTCAGATGAAAAAAGGTAATAATAAAATCTTAAATAAAATTAGATTGAAGGGAATTAAAGTGAAAATAAATTAAATTAATTAAAATTCAATAAAATCCAATGACGTAAAATAAAAATGGAATAAAATCAAGTAAAATTAAATTAAATTAAATAAATAGAATTAAATAAAATTAGATAAATTGTAAATCACATAATCCTCAATAAATATCAATTTCAAATGAATATAACGGAAAATTATGCATAAATAAGATAACCAAAGAGAAAAAAACCTTGATAAAACGTCAGTTGTGATAATTTTAAATAAAATACTAAATTATAACAAAGAAATGGCCACAATAATAATAAAATAAAATTATAAAAAATTAAAAGTTAAAATAAAATCGAGATATTATAAGCAGAAGCAAAACGCTATACAAAAAAAGGAAAAATAATAGAAAACAAAAGGGAAATATTTTAAAACCCTAAACCGAGTAAAAAAATAAGAATATTAATTATATAAATATAGGGAATTGGCTTAATTACCTGCCTTACTAAAGTTAACTTTGTCGTTAATATAATTACCGGACCTACCTTACCAGACTTACCTTAAACTTACCTTCCTGCCCTAATTATAAATATTGATATACTTACCGAATATACTTACCTGACGTACTTAACCTTCTTATACTTACCGTTGATCTTGACCTTAGTACTTACCTTAGCTGTAGTCTTACTATTAGTATACTTTAGATTTTTTTTTTCTTCTTGATGTTAGGATTTAGGTTAGCTAGTTTTAAGAATTAGATATAAGGAAAATGAATTTGTGTAAGTAAACTTGTTTTATAAAATGGGAATGCTGACTCTTTCCGTTATTTGAGAAGGCACGATAGGATTTCAGAAACGGGGCTACTGATATTAGGGTGCGCCGGTAGCCATGGCGAGGGTGGGCCAGCACCAGGCACCACAATACCAGCGGTGGTGCCTCATATTCGGCCATAGGATTTTCTTGTTTTGATCATTTCTTTTTATTTCGATTTTTAGTTTAGATTTTCCTTTTGTAGATTTTCAGCTTGTTTTAAATATTTGATTTTAACGTTTCTTTTCCAGCTTTTTTTTGTGTAACTGTGTTTTTTTTTTGAATATTTAAATTTGCGTCCGTCCGATACTTCCGGCCATGCCGGAAGCGAAGATGTTTGACAGGCATGACTTTTCTCTGCCATGGCGCAGGGAACAGGAGTAAATGCAAAAACCCAGCCCCGCCGACATGACTAGCCATAGTGCACCCTATCGTGTCATGCCGCCTCCATTCACTGCTGCTCCCAATGTATGCGTACCATAACAATCGTTTTGTTCCTTGATATCTGGCCTTCCATTCCATTTTTCCAGAAATATATATTAATTGCTTTTTGTTCCTCTTTTAGACATATTTACTTAATTAGTATGATTTAATGCCGGTAACTTTTGTCGATGACTATGTATATCTACTAANCTTCCATTCCATTTTTCCAGAAATATATATTAATTGCTTTTTGTTCCTCTTTTAGACATATTTACTTAATTAGTATGATTTAATGCCGGTAACTTTTGTCGATGAATATGTATATTTACTAAAATACAAAATGTAATTTTTTGACAGCTGGTTAACTTGTCGGCCCGTCGAACAGTTACGCATAATTAAGATGTTATTAACATTTCAGGACAGATTACGTATTCCATGGCGTGGCGGATCTAAGTATGCCACATTGGGTAGCCTTATTCCCGTTGTTGCGATTCCATTACTTATTAGCTTAGCAGCAATCAATGCATATACCTGCATTATATTATTTTTAACAAGCTCTGTGATAATGTGTTATGCTTTCAATTACGTCCAGAGCAAAGCAATACGGACAAGTTTTTTCAGCATATGGGTGTTTTCATCATTGGTCTACTTGATAGTGTTGTTTGAATTCACTGTACCGCTTTTGGAACTACTCCCAGAAGAGAATTGGGCTTTAGTCGTACTTTCCATAATTTCATTGATTTGCTTTTATCAGACTCGTAAGCGAGCTATATTAAATCACGTCATACAGTTTGCTCGAACAGCAAATGGAGTACTCATCGTTACAGAAACAAGCGTCTCAGAGGAAGATAAGACGATAAAAGCAGCTCTACTGCTAGAACAGGACTTGGAAGAAATACAGCCAACTGATTGTGCGAACCGCGTTCAACCAAATGTTTGCTCAATCTGTAGTAAGTGTGTGCCGGCGCGAACTGTACATTGCTCAGTTTGCAGTGCTTGTATTAAGAGACCACCACAGCTATTGGTTAAATTGCTGCATAGGAGAATCAAATCATCGTTTCACACTCGCATTATTATTGGGCGCTAATTTGACACTAACTGCTGTTTGTCATCCGTTTATAGCAGCAAATATATTAGGACTGCACATATTGCTACCGGATGATTGCACCGAGGTTTTTTACATATACGAGTATGTCCAAAAAGTTACATGCTGATACAGTTTAAATAAAAATCTTGTTTATAATAGGTTCGGCTTAGCTTTTGTGATTGCTGCCTATACTTTAATGATTGCTGCATACATCATGCTAATACTTGTGCGACAAATATATTTCATTTCGCGTGGAACATCATTACATGAAAGCAAAACAGAGGTGGGCGGGAATAATAAAACTTTGAAGTACAACTGGAGGAATTTTGTATTTTAGTAAGAAATATATCGTTACCTTAATATAGAAAGGCCCTAACTCACTTTCATTTAGAGTCCACATTTATACGAAATCTGTAAAATAGCTCACAATATATCTAATAGAAATTGAAAACAAATATTACAGCGTTAGATAAAATATTTTGTTTGATAAAAATCAGCACTTCGACGAAATTCGCAAC